AGGTCAGAATAGGATAACCAAAACACTCGGCTATCTGGGTTTAAGCTCTTTTTGTCTACAGTTGGAAAATTTCAAATTAATTAATAATTACAAGATCTTATAAATCGAGAGAACCTCATATGAAAGTATGATACCCAAGTTTTGATTTTCAAACCATACTCAATGAGATATTCCATAATATTTATCCTCAAAATTTTCTGAGTTAAATGTTAAAAGAGGAAAAACTTCATAAGCCTTATGAAAGGCAATGAGGATGTTATGCTAAAATAATAATAGTAAAAATAATGAAGCAACTTCTTTGTAAGTTTGCTACAAAACTCTTACGGCGATCATTAGTTGTTTTATTTTCTTTCCGTGGTGCAGGCTCACGTTTTTCGGCCATTTTTCAAATTCAATTGCTTTTAGTGCCTGGCACAGCTGCAAGTTTTACCCACCAAAATTCGTGTCAGTAAATAAGTAGGTTCATCCGAATTCTCTGCTCCCCATGCAATGCATCCACAAAACGTGCTCACATGTGCCTCGGCTCATACTCAAATACATATAATAGGCATGTGTGTGTGTGTGTGCATATGTCAAAATGAAAATGCGCTCGATTTATGTTTTACGTTACAGAAATTATTAGTTTCGGTTTCAAGTTGCGGTAAAAGTTTTTTTCCCTTCTGTAAAGTTTTTATTACATTTTACTGTCTTCAGGACATTGCGTTGTTTACAAGTATCCTTGAAACGTGTGGTGTGTAAACAGAAAAACTTTAATTTATTACCCAAGTACTAACACTCGTTGAAGATTTTTTCTTTCATTGTTATTCAAATCCACAGAAAAGTATTTTAAGGTCTTGTGAGGATCACAACGATATTAGTCCACAAGTATTAAACATATGTGTTTGCCACACGAAAAAGTCAGGTAATAAGTAAAATGATCAAGAATACTCATAGCTGTGTACGGTCATTTCGAGTTCCTTATACTTTTCACATGACATTAATAGTATTGGATTTTAGGATTAAATACTAACTCATATCTGAAAATTTGATATGACAGGGCTATGTGATAAAGATCTCGATGGAAAATGTTTCTTTGTGGATGCTGCTTTGACAAAAGCCTAATTTTTAAGCAACTTTTATGTCGGTTTGCAAACGCTGAATAACTTTTACATTTACCAACCGAGCGATTGCATCAGATATGTTTCAGAAACGTCAATTCGGCACAATTTTTGCCATTCATCGCTTCACACCGAAACAACGTCCTGAAATAGTGACACTTTACATCGAAAACAGTCGTCCATAGAGATGCTCGGAAAGGTAATGCCAACGCAGAAGAAAGGAGTCATTTCTTAATTCCTAATAAAGTTAGCCACTTACTTGATATTGTTTTCAAAAGGTAGACCAAAAAAAATTGTAAAGAACCAAACTGAATAAAAATACGTAACTAATAGAAATCGCTTGTTTTTACTCAAAGTTATTCATTTCATTTTTGAATCTAGCGCCCTCTAGTGGCCTCCAGTAAAAATTTCATGACATTTCATTTATTGGCAGTGAAGTTATTGCGTTTTAAGTGTCAGTATGTTTTTGTCATCGGTGCGAAAATGAGCTTCGAACAAGGAGCCAACATTAAATTTCGTTTTAAAATTGGTAAAACTATCACCGAAACGTTTCACTTGATGAATCAAGTTTATGGCGATAATTGCCTATCGCGTAGCAGAGTGCACGAGTGGTTTCAGCGTAAGTGGTCGTGAGGACATAAATCTCGATGAAAATGTGGGCCCAAAAAAAAACGTGATCACCGAAAATTCCATCGAAACTGTGCTCGAAAAAACTGTCATCATTGAAATTCATGGAAATAGAATTGAACATCTCCAAAACATCGATTTATCGCGCTTTGACCGAACATTTGGGCTTACAGAAGGTGTGTGCACGGTTTGTTCCGCACAAATTGACTGACGACCAAAAATTGCTCAGAATTCAACATTTGAAGGACATCATTAAACACACACATTTTAACAATCCACCACTCCCGTATTCACCTGATACGGCACCGTGTGACTTCTATCTTTTCGGAAAAATGCATTTGCTGATGAAAGGAAAGCGTTTTGCAGATGTGAAGACCGTTCCGGCATACTGGCGGCCTTACCGCGCTACGAGCTAAAACACTCGTTCGACATGGTTTTAGGCCATGCAAAAAGCTATATTAAAGCAGAAGAAGACTATTTTGAATAAAATTAAATGATATTGCCGATAAAACCATTTATTCCGTCTTTTTTTTTAAGGTCTTGTTTACTTTCGAACGCACCTTGTATACCGCTAGAGCAATTTTAGGCCGCACTCCTCCTCCAATTGTGGTGTGATGTTTTTCTCAACAAATAGAAAGACCTACAGATGCAGGGCTTAAGGAGTTTTATGACGAGCATTTAGCTCATGTCAGGAATACACTCGGAGGGCTTACATGCTCTACCGAGCAGCCGCCGCAGTTGGAAAATTTAACTTTGTATAACTTTGGACGTTTCATTAGAACAGGAATTCAGATTGACAGAACAAAATGCTCGGATATTTGTTCAAACTATGACAGCGGTACTTAGAGGTGTACAACGATGCTTGGCGCGCTTACTAATAATTTTGGAAATTTCAACAATTCTTTGTAAATAACAGCCGTTCTATATTTATATCTTAATAACGACGAGACAGTAATCGCACGTAATGCGCGTACATACTCGTATGTCTTCCGTTTATCACATGATCGATTAGGTTGCGGGATCTTCGATCATTATATAAACATCAAACTCAGCCATTTATTTAGCTTTATGGCTTTTCTCGTGTGAAGATATGTTGCTAAATACAAAAATATTTCGTGCCCCATTGGAGTCGATCGAATTTCCGAGTGTTATAATGAATAAACCTTCGCCTGGCCTAGCAACTTTTACATTGAAGGAGATGGCAGCCCTTAGCGATGCGTTTTAGGTACACATAGAAAACATTATTGGTTAACCCGTTTGGACGGGGGAAAGTCAGCAAACAGTTTTCGATTGCCCTTTTGATGCAAACTGTGGCTAGACGTTCATTCTTCGATGTGAATGACAGAATTCGGCGCCTGATATCTCTGCCACCACAAATACAACACCGAAGTCTCGCTCCCTCGTCCTTCCGTGCCGCGTCCCTCCCACTTAGTTAATGTCAACCACAGTTTTTAAAAAGATTTCAACCAACTGAACTGCATGGGTCGTCCTCAAAGGGGGTTTCTCATCTAAGGCGTGTTGTATTTTTTCATTGAATAGGTTTTGTATGTGGGATGTACGCACACGCGTAGGCGTTCAGCTGATCAGCTAAGCTCTGCGTGGCTAATGATTGGTCTGAGATAGGAAGTAGTGAGCTTCTTGAACCGTATGTATATTTGTGGCTAATTACAGGATAATAAAAACACTTGACTATTGAAAAATTAATATGAATATTAATATGTAACCGCTTGAAGCGATTTGTGATTTAGCGTATTGATGTTTTTCTAATAAATGAAGAGACCTGCGGTTTATATAATACTAAGCCTCCTCGGAACGGGTGATGGTATTTTATTAGGAGCCTCTATTTCATTCTAGAAAAACGCTTGAAGGGGTTGACATTCCCTATATGCTACTTAAATTGTACACATGTTACCATGTTTATAATTATCTTTTCCAAATTTTGGATTAAAATCTGTTTCTTTAGTTTACAGCCTTATAAAATTATTTTTTAAATATTTGAGATATATATATGCCTCATTTTAGTATATAAATTTTTTCATTATTGTGAGTATAACTTGTTATAGGCAACAGAGGTAGATGGGAAAAAATTTAGCCAGAGGATAAGAAAAACCCGCATATCCCATTACCACGAAGTCCGAATGTGATAGCTTTTCCTTTAAAAAATAGAGTATATTCCAAAGTTTGGTATTAATTAAATTTAAAAAAATTAAAAACTCATACCGTAACAGTGAAACTAAATACAATATAACTAGTTTATTTGGAATTGCGTCTACGAAGGAGTTTTTATTTTTAAAAGTAAAACATAAAAATATGTATTTAACTTTAATAAATAAATTCTTAAACTAAAGTGAGTATACCTTAATAATTTTGAGTCTGCGCTTAAAAATCAATGAATAGAGATTGTTAAATATCTCAAATTTAAGGAAATAACAAAAAAAATAAATAAAAATTTCTCCCGAAGAACATCAAGGTTCGTGCGCAATGCGAATGTTGACTTTACTTGACTTGCCTTAAAATCAGAGATGCTCAACAAACGCATCGAAATAATTTCGTTTCGCTAACAAGAAAAATTAACTCAAGGAAAAGAAATCGTTTCGTTTCGGCGCCATGTTCTCGAAACGAAATGAAATCGTTAACGTAAATTTTAAAATGGCTCTTTGCTGTGATTTAACAGTCCACTTTAATTTTAACATTTAACATTATCTGTTATAGATTTAACATTAACGACAGCTTTTCGTTTCGGGTAAAAACGAAATATATTTATTTTCATACCTGCTCTAACGTTCACATTTCCTAATGTTTGAATCAAAACCATAAAATTTGCTTTGAACGTTGTCAAAATTTCGGGTTACAATATCCGCTGTGAAAACCACTGGCAAGTATAACAATCATCGCTTAAAGCAAGGTCAAATTTGTCTCTTTTCCTGGAATGTATAGTAATATTCTGTTAGGACATGTCTTTTGTCAGTCTTCCAACCACTTTCCCAAATGCAACCGTTTGTAAAGGACAGTTGATACCCGTTGGCCATAACTTATACATTTTTTAACTAATTATGTTTATGAATATTATAAGTGTTGAGTAGCTGTTGAGAAGTTTTCGGTTTCTTCGCTTATGAGTACAAATCTTCCCGCCCAAGCAGTGTAACAGCAAACATAGACGTATAGACAACACATATTCAGTTAGTTAAATAAATAAATACGTAAGTAAATCTCATATATGTATATCTCTACGCACATATAAGTTTTCTATTCACATACGTGCATATCAGTACTTACCGTTTTTTCTGATGACTGTCAAAAGCGATGTTAACAGGCACATCCAATTCCAAGTCCTCCACATCATCGATAGCTTTGGCCATCGCCTGAAATTTGCGTACGGAACAAACGCTGCCTCCGCTGTCGGTGCTAAACACACGCCGCGCCAAACTATTAGCCTGCACGCCAGTTGAGTCGCCAGCGGCAGAGGCGATTTCCGTTGCAACAAAGTGGGCCGAAAAGGCAGCGCTTAGAAGGAATTTCAGCAGCAGAAGGCGTGTCATTGAAGTCGGTGAGGTGTGAACATTTCTGCCTGGCAACAGCATTTTCGACGTGTACGACCTTCGTTATTTCGATGTGAAAGTTCAAATTAGTTGCAACGTTCCGTTGGCAAATGTAATTTATGCGCTTTGTGAATCAGTAAAATTGCATTTAGGCGCTAGTTGAACAAAAAGCCAAATGGTTAAATTAAAGAGGCAAAAAGAGAACCGAATTGTTACGCTTCAACAGACAAAAAGACAGACTTTCTGCTGGATTAGTCAAGCCAATTTCCAATGCAGCATTTGCCACCGATTCGATGATTCCGAAAAAGTGTGTGAGGGTGTAAATGTACGTGCGTGCATGTGTGTGTGTGTGTATGCCAATCGCTTTTAATTGCCAACAATTGATTGGACAGCTGTCAAATGGTGACATTGTCCACTTTTTAACATCTTCCTTTGTTAGAGATGAATTGCAGCCTGTCAGCAAAATCAGAATTGTAGTTTTACAATTCACTTTGTCCCGCTTTGTTCCCCCTTTGCTCCCGGTTTCAAATTTAAGCTTTTAAAAACTGACTTCGCTTGTGGTACGTTTTTTTTTTTTTTTTCTAAAAAGCGAACAACTGATGATAATTCCCCGAATTGTTAGATTAACTAATTGGCTTCGCATGCAAATTGGCCTTACAAATTTGAATTGCGCTCGAAATGTTTAATTGGCCCTTTTGCGTTTTAATTGGCAAATGGCAAAGGGGCGGCACAGCATGGAGAGGGGATACATCCATTTTGATTAAGAGCTACATTACTGAGCGGGCGGCACACCACTCGACGATTGCACAAAACGCGCAAATTTAATTTGAAATTCGATTTGAGTTAATTAACTAACTTTGGAGAAATCTATTTTCAGTTCAATTTAAGAGTTTTCGATACATTTAATGTACGCTTCTACGAATTGATGGTTTACTTTTTTTTTTTTTTTTGAGTATTATAAATAAAATGAAAAAATTCTTTCATAATCCCACGGAACACTGTCTAAAGTTTTGCAATATGAATACACAAATTTCAAATGATATTTCATTTCAGGACTAAATATTAAATATCGTGTCTGGAAAATTTTTACATAGGACATGCGTGGAATATCTAATCTATATATCTACATGATATAGTGCTCCGATTTTGTTAGGTTTCGGCACCAATTTGTAGTCCATCATATCTGTCCAGAGTCCAGCGTCTCAGATGATTTTTTCACAAAGCTTTTTATTCAAAATCAAAAATTTGAAAAATCAATCTTAAATATGTTCGATCCGAAAATTTATAACTTAGCTCTACCAGCAAATTTATGTTTATGTTAGATTGAGATTTCTCAAAAACTGAAGAACTATTTTACGTAAAAACATAAGGACAGACCGGCATTAAATCAACTCAGCCCGTCATTCTCATCCAATCGTTATAAATTTTAATGGGTCTCATTCTCCACCAACTGGTACTTAGATACATACTTCGGACCACGGGTATTACCATTCCATTTCATGTAGATGAAAGTAATAAAAAAGACAATATCCGCAAAGTTATGCTTAAGAAGTCCAAATATCTAAATTTAAGAAATTTTTGCCTTATTCTAGCTCCAAACACGTTCTAAGAAAGTGTGTTAAATCTTTTCATGGCATATTGTAGGTCCGCTATGAGTAACGCTACAGCTAAGAGTGGAAACGTCTATCCAACCATGTTGTGGAGACTTTGAAGATGACGAACGCACTGGACGCCTGACCAGAACATCAACAACTAAAAGAATACACAAAATGATTATGAGCGTCATAATTAAAGAAGTCGCTGAGGTTGTTGCCAAACCGATTGCGTAAGTCAGAACATTTTTCAAATGTTTTAGGACTTCAACGTTTTTTTTTTTCCAAAATATATAACATCGGCGAATGAAAGCTACTAAGGAGTCACTACATGAAGTCAACCACGATAAGCAATCGCTGAAAATTATTAAGGTAACGGAACTTGGGCTTACGGTTATTGTGTCCATTCCGGCAAGTGCGGCCAAACGTGAAAGTTATGTTCATAGTGCTCTTCGATTTTATTGGCATAGAGCATTATATATTCCTGCCATATAAAACAAGCGGTCATTAAGAAGTATTACTAGAAGTAACTCCGTATGTGTGTATCAATGCAAATATACGACTAGATTTCTGGGAAAAGAGTTAACATCCCGATAATGCACCTGCTCGAGAATCTTTTGCCTAACAAAATTCCAATTCCAAACTTGGTTGCGTTTGACTTTTTCCTATCTCCAATATTGGAGAATATCTTAAGGAGCATCGCGTAAAAATCTAAAGGTCATCTCAAGTGACGTATTTGAGAAGTGTTTCGGGCAGTGAAGGAACGCTGACTAATTTGATAAAGGATATGAAAACCCTCGTTATTTTTGGATCCCACCTCGTGAAGCACTTAAAACTTTAAACCAAAGCTTTTTTAAAGTGGATTCAATTGGCAATCGATAAAAAGGAATGAAACTTAATAATATTAATTATTTCTCAATTAGTATACCTTATTTTAACTAACCGACAACCTTTCCAAAAGAGAATTTTCAAGAATTTTTTCTCTAGCGACAACCTTCCTTTAGTATAATCCTACCTGAAATATGAAAACGTTATATAAACCTATGGGAAATATTGACCAACTTAGAGTTAAATGCGGATAAAACAGTTACGTTTAAGTCTCCACAGAGAGGTCCAAGATTTCGTCATGGAAGCTGGACGAGCTGGAGCTATCGAATAAGGAGCATATCAAATACCTGAGAGTAATTTTGCACAGCAAACTGAAATGGAAACTCAAAATGCAAGGGAAGTTGATAAGACCGGACATGCATTGGTATCACACTGGGGTTGTTAAGCCTTACGTTTTGTGGTGCTTTCGTGCCAGCAAAATTTCGCGCAGAAAACTCTAGGTGCGAATAGAGCCTCTCGCTGCACACTGCATAACAGAAACGCTAAGAACTGCACCAACGGTTGCTGTAAACAGGTTACTCAACCCACAACCAGCATCTGTGAATTCTCTGAAAGATTCCTTCGGCTTAGCACTAATAAAAAATAGCTGACGAAGAAAGCGTCGGAATGTATTGAGCTGAGCTAAATCTCAGAAAACTCTTGAAGTACCCTTCAGGTGGAAGTCTTCGTGGTTAGAAAAGCGGCTGTCGAACGTGAAGATTATTACAAGGCGACTGCTTCAGCTTTAATTAAACTGCACTTTCGTTCGCACTACAAATAACCAGAAGCTCCATGTAAGGCGTAACAGCCATTTTAAGCTCAACAGCTTGAACACTTTAAATTCAAATGTATGAATAATAAATTTTATGGATGGGAATCTTAGAAATATTAAACAAAGAATTGCCTAATAATAAGCCTAATGAGATGCTGTGGTCTCCGGAATAGTTGTCACTAACACCATTATTTAATTGTGGTGTTCATGGGCTCACAAAATTAAAAGAACAAAATAAAATTATTATTAATCGTACATAAGTTGTCGGGCTATGACTATATATGAGCCACAATGGATTTATCATAACGGCAGTAATGATTGAAAAAAAGGCGCCCACTGAGAGCGTGAAAAAAAACTGTACCCATAGAAATTTGGAAATTAAGAAAAACCAGAAATTTTTCATATTTGCAGATTGTAAAGCAAACGAAGATATCAAATTCCAACAAACAGACCAAGGCAAAACATCAGATTCACAATTCCTAAAAAATGCAAAACTAACACACACACACACACGCACACACACACACATACAGACATGTAATTGTTGTGTAAGCATCGTCAAATAGAACCATTTTAAGTTCATTAAAGTTATTTGTTCAGCACAAGGCAACGCCCTTTGGCCCCCGCCACATGCAAGCTGCTCACTATTTCCATGAGCAAGCCAACAGTTGTGCATAGTTGCAACATCTGCTCCGATTCCTGCTGCGCTGTCACTTGTCCTCCTAGGGCGAATACATGGGATGATGGTTTTCGCTTCTAACCCATTCTTCAACCTCAAAAGTGGCAATCCTTTTCGCCTTGGGGCACATATGTATATGTATATGGCTAGTTCAACAGGATGTGCTTGTAGTTGTGCAGCCACACATGAAAATGTACCTACACACTCGTATGCATTAATTTAACAGTGTTTTTATATTAGGGAGTTCAAAATTATGCAAGACAATGAGAATTTAAATAAAATATCAGAATATAGAAGTGAATTTTTGAAAAATTTTTTTAAACTAATAATAACAATTTTTGGCATTTAAATTTTGGCTAAAAAAATTTTGCTATAAGAGTTTTCCCTATGGCGCTTTATTCACTTGTTCACAGTTTCTTTATTGCTACAAACAGAGAAGCTTAACGAACGTAATGATGCCATTGTTAACGAAATGGTTTTGATTCGTTTCGCCACCATGTTAACGAAACGAAATGAATTTGTTAATTTTGATACCCCAACAACTCATGTTAACGTTAATTTTAAAAGGCTGCTCGCTGTGATATTAACAGCACTTTTCAACTTCAACGTTTAACATTTTCTGTTAGCGATTCAACATTAACGTCAGCATTTTGCATCGGGTAAAAAGGAAATAAATTTTATTTTGACAATCGAATCAATTAAAATTTTTTTATTAAATTTATTGTAAAAATTGGCTAGATCACAACGGAAACTTTAAGAAGAGTCGAATGCTGCTAATGCCTGATTAGCCACTATAAACTTTCCTTATAAATGCAAAAATTTGGATCACACTGGGCCTTGTTTGTAAAAATTAACCAAAAATTTTCAGTTTGCAAAAAAACCTGACGGTAAATAACTCCGTCACCGGAGTAACCGTTATATATATATTTGTATATTGTACATATATATACAAATATTATATAAAAGTATAAATGTGTATATATGTGTTCTTGTAGTACATATCATTGCATATATATATTATATATACATTTAAACACATACATTTAGCCACGAAAGCCAGCAATTGAAACGTCGAACATGCATTCGCTAACAGCACTTGTAGTACCACTCATTCACTTTTTAACATCCATCTAAATGTATGTACTTTGTCCCCTGCACCAACGAACGACAGTTACTCCTCAACTTTCTGTACGTTTTTGCGTTAATGCTGCCAGAAACTTTTTCAAAAAAAAAATCCAATTCGTG